TCTCATGTTTTCGTTGCTATTGTATTTTTTTTAATACTATAACAGTCATATTTTTTTATGCTACATATATTTCTTTTTATTACACACGGTATGCATCTGAGTTTCAATCCTTGTTCTTTTTCCCCTTTCTTAAATACTGAAATTAATAACATCCCGTATAAATTGAGAAGTCCGACTAAAAAAAAAAAAAAAAATTTGCTTCCGACAGATATCGAAACCGTCCACCTTTTTTCACCAGTGAAACTGCTCTTGAAGCTGAAACTTATCAGAGGTCGCATTGAGAGTTCAAGTTTTCACTTCCCAATTTGAGGAAAGTACATTTCGCGTTGAGGCTTCTACCAATCTATATCTGATGGCTTCAGTTTCATACCTGAAATGTGAACAACAATAATTTTTTTGAATGGCTTTTTTATCTAACATTATTCCTTATTCCTATAAATATTTTTTTATATGCAGCAAACATCCAAAGTTAGTAATTAGTGGATACTAGTATTTTAAATTGAAGTCCCATTTTCATTTTTGTTTTTTAATCAGTGTATATTACAATGTTTCCCGCCAGAATCTATCTTGCATATTTATAAGTCTACCATTCGTCCACAAATTGAATATTGCTGTAACATTAGGTCTTGTGTTACTTCTACATATTTAGAGATTTTTTTTATAAAATTCAAAGCAGAATCTGCAATGTTATTGGCCCTGACCTGGCATCTCGGCTTCAGTCACTTTCCCACTGCCGTAATGTAGCTTCCCTGTGTCTTTTATATAAATACATCCATGGTAATTGTTCTGGCGATCTTTCCTCTATGGCACCTAGACTTTATGAATTTAAGCTTAATACTAATTTAGCGGCAAGGTCTCATCGTTGTACAGTTTAAATGGTTAGATGTAACCGTAAGTTCTATGCTAATAGTTTCTTCTATCACACTTCTCGCTTATGGAACTCTCTTCCGGCTTCTAGCTTCCCAGTCAACTTTGATCTTCAAAATTTTAAATGTAACGTCAATCATTATCTTCTGCCTTCTTAATTCTTTTCTTTTATTATTCTCTCTCCTGAATAGTATTTTTCTCGTACTCTCTAACACCCAGTAACTCTCTGCGTCTTAGTGGCTTTATTGCTTTGATTCGAGTGAAATGGTTAAAAAAAAGATACATCTATCAGCGCGCGCATTCGAAAAATATTAATCAAGAAAATGTTCTCTCCGACAGGGATAGAACATACGTCCCGACTTATAGAAGAAATCAGCGTTTGATCCTGCTTACTTTACGACTCAGCTACGTAGAGCATTACAGTTCAGCAAGTCTTTATTTTTCCTTTTCAAGGAAAGCACACTTCCGTATACAGATTGATATTTCTTGAAAGCCCATCTCTGGTCAGTTTCGCATTCAAAACGTAAACAAAACAATTTTTAAAGAATTAATACGTGTAATCACTATAATAAAGCCTGAAATAAATATGTCAGATTAAAAAAAAAAGACCACTAATTCTTTATATATATATGAAAATAAAAAAAACAAAAATTCCAAATTCTCAAAGTGACCTATATATATATATATATATATATAAAATGCAACCAACACTAAATAAGATTAGTTACGAGTATAGCAATGTTTTAAAATGCCTATAAAAGCAATGTTGTGGGATACTCAAAATGTAAAATAGTTGTTTTTTAATTGCAGGTTGTGTATTTTAAAACATTAATAATAATAAAAAATATAAATTAAGTTACCTCCCTTACATATTTGTAACGTTAATCGACTAGAACGGAGCGCGTTACATGCGTATTTACAAAAAAATTAACAACTATAAATTACATTAATTTTTTGTCTTTCACCCCTGATGATAATCTCGGATGTGATTAAGAGTACTTAGGGAAATAAAAGGAATGAGAAAAACTACGGCGTACTTCTTAATCAGTTTAAAAACAGCACTAAGAAATCGATCCGTGAATTTGAGAGGATTAAAATAAAAATAAAGACATATATCTAGAAATAAAGACATATATCTAGATTATTCAACCAAACACGCTTAAATGAAGATATACAGCCACACACACACACACACACACACACACACACACACACACACACACACACACACACACACACAAACACACACACACACACACACACACACACACACACATATACATATATATATATATATATATATATATATCTGTGCAGCAAATGTTCTTTAAGGCAAATACTTTTAAAAACGACAGACGTTTTGTGTCTCTTAATTTTAATGATCGACTTTTTCAAGTTATGAATAATCCTTCTCAGTCAAGGAGGAAATTCCATCAGAAATTGTCCAAAGATCATTTTGAAAGAAAAGTACAGGGAATATGGTCCAAGCTTAAGAAATTCGAATGCATATTTCATGTGCTTTTCATACTATTTTATGATGAATACCATCAAGATCTTATTATTGAATATTTTCCTTTTCTTGACATCATTAATCAAATAGTATGAATATGTTAATAGGCATAAATTGAGGGATCGTTCTTCTATTGTTATTATGTAATAAATTCATCCCCCTGAAGTACATGTTAGAAACTTATATTGAAAGACTGAGATGTGAAAATCTTCAAAAGTAAGGACTTAACAAGACACGCCATAATTCTTGACGGCATTCATAAAATAGTAATGAATATAATATGTTAATAGGCATTAAGTGGGGGATCGTTTTTCTGTTGATATTCTGTAATAAGTTGATCCCCCAGAATTACTGCATATTACAAAATTTTATTTTAGAGTTGAACTAGTATAAGCTTATGGTGGATATAAAGAGGTGGATCGGTTTTTTTTTATTGCCATTAAGTAATAAACTGTTATAAAAACTCCATCAATAGTCATGACTTAAAATATGCCGCCATTTTCAATATTGGATATAAAACAGGTGATCACTTCTCCATTGTTATTAAGTAATAAACTGATTCCTCAATATTACTATAATAGTAACTGAAATATATATATATTAAAGGATCTCTCTCTCTCTTGCTCTTTCTCTTATACACACATACACACATACCTACTCTCATACACACATATACCGTATATTTTCACGTATAAGGCAACCTACAGATAAGACGAGACTCAAAATCTAGGTAAATTTATCAGGTATCCATAGTATAAGACGACCGAAAACATAGGCTAGCCTATGCCGCCATTAACAGTTAGACCTCTCGTAATGATTCCTACGAGTCTAAAATAAACCTGGTGTTGTTACAAATGTTGTTTTGCTTACCTTTATCGTTATCAAATCAAAAGGAATAAAATAATCTAAAGTATTAACATGACTTTTTATGAAAGTAACAATAACGATTTTATTCTTACAACTCGTACGAATGAAAACAAAAGTTGCGTATAATGTAATGAGAAATAAAGATTTTATGCTATCTTGTTGCTTAACACCGCAAAAAATACAGTATAAAACATGTTATTGAAAAATAAAGTTTGCGTATTATACTAAATGTTGTTATTTAACGCCACAATGATAATGAATTTTAATTAGAAATATAGATTGTATGTTATCCTAAATGTAGTTATTTAACACGACTATGAGGAAGAAGATTAGTGTGAACGCAGACATAGCTCTATAAATTAAGAACGAAAGATTTGTTTACGTTATTTGTTATTTGTGAGTGTTGCTCAGCAGAAATTTTACAAATTGTTGTCTTGAATACTGCATTTTAATGTTAAATCAAAAAGGAAAAGTAATTTTATTATATTTATAACTGTAGCACTGGAGTCATGGGTATCGGCTTGGATTGAGGAATTGGAGTGCAGAGTTCGAATTCCAATCGAATCCATTACATTCACTTACATGCTAATACCCTTGGGAAAGTTATGAATCCTCTTCTTCGAACCCCTTCCCAGGAGAGACCCGGTTCTATAGCCTTGGAAGGCAACTGGTCTACCTCAGAAAGAAATGGCAACCTATTGTCAGTCATGTATCGAAAGATACTTGATCGCATAAGCTTGTATCACGCATGGCACATAACTGACTGTCTGAATGTATTATAATATGAATTGTTTCAACTAGAAATATTTACATCGGTAGTTACCATACCGAGGCAGCCTACCGCAATCCTTGGCGCAAACATTCTAGCCTACTTACCAGTGCCGATACACCACAGCATTTAAGCTTACTTTTTGTAACTCTTGTATTAGGCCACCACTTATTTGGAGGGTAATTTTTCAAGATTTAAAGATCGCCTTACACGTGTAAATATACGGTATATATATATATATATATATATATATATATATATGGAAGTGGACGTTGAGGTCAACACTCAGGGGTGACAGTCATCCATAAACGCAATCTTCAGGAATAAACAGAATGTCATCACTTTTATATTTACATACTCTCTATCCCTGATATTGAGCACTTTAACCCAGCATGATTAAAACGATACTTTATCATATATATATATATATATATATATATATAAACCTTCCAATATTAATCAGGACTAAAAATAGGCCGTCATTTATTACGGCGATGTAAACTGGTTCAAACAACAAACAATTATGAAAACTTTGAAGAAACATTGAATCCATTAAAAGTGACCAGTCTATTCATAAACTGGTAAAATCTTCTACAGTAGCGTGCATATCTATTATGCTTACCGACTGTATTTTTAGTTATATTTGAATGAAAATGATTTTATTTCACTTTCAGGCGAAGGCAAGAAGCCATTAAGAATATCCTCAAATTCAAAGCTTGCAGTGGAATGGCAATTTTATGAATTGTAAAGTTCGACATTTTAGGGATATTTTCTTCTCTTCCTGCTTACCATTATTTTTTTTGTTATTGTTGTATCTTTTTTCTTTTCTTTTCTTTTACTCTTTCTTTTTTTTAACTTCCTTTTCTTCCTCGTTTTTGTTCTCTTTCTTTTTTCTGATTCTTAATCTTCCTGTCATGCGTGTTTATCTCATTGTCACTCTTCTTCGTCTTCATCCTCATTATTGTTGTTGTTCTTATGCATCTCAGCTTACGGCTATATCACGTTGAAACACAGGTTCCTGTATGATCGCCGAAGTTAAACAACGTCGCTCCTGGTCATTACCTAGGTGGGTGACCGCTTGGGAATACCAGGTGCTGTAAGCTTCCATGTGAAGGTAGTGTATAATGTATCAGAATTGTTAAACGGAGTTCAGAGTTCCAATTTCTATTGGGTTCGTTATATACCCCTGGGGAAGGTAGGACACCCCCTCTTTTCTCCTTAGATATGGGTTAATTAGTAAGAATTATATCACAACTATCACTATCTAAAAAAAGATATCTTAAAATCTAAAAATATTATCTGGCTTTAAGAAACTTGAAAAGGGTTGATAAGCCGTCAAATATGAATCAACTAATTATATATCCTAATTTTCTCTTTTTCTTGTTTGTCTTCTTCTTTTACTTGGTTTACTAAACGTATCTTAGATGTGGCATCAGGACGAATGTATGAATGAGGATCGAACTCACTATTAAGTTGTAATTGATCAATCGATACAAGCTTATTAACCATTACACCACGATGTGTGTTCATTCAATGTTTATTACTTTATCTATTTGTTCAGTTCCTTGTCCAACAGTGTAACCCCGATATAATAGAGTTGTCGGGACCGGAGAAGAAGTCCCTTATATCCGGGTTTCTCTTATATCCGGGTTTCTCTTATATCCGGGTTTGGTCTATTTTGTTTAGGTAAGTATGGGAACACTTTGGTACCAGAGAAAATCTCTCTTATATCCGGGTCTCTCTTATATCCGGGTTTCTCTTATATCCGGGTTTCTCTTATATCCGGGTTTCTCTTATATCCGGGTTTGATCTATTTTGTTTAGGTAAGTATGGGAACACTTTGTTACCAGAGAAAATCTCTCTTATATCCGGGTTTCTCTTATATCCGGGTTTCTCTTATATCCGGGTTTCTCTTATATCCGGGTTTGGTCTATTTTGTTTAGGTAAGTATGGGAACACTTTGGTACCAGAGAAAATCTCTCTTATATCCGGGTTTCTCTTATATCCGGGTTTCTCTTATATCCGGGTTTCTCTTATATCCGGGTTTGGTCTATTTTGTTTAGGTAAGTATGGGAACACTTTGGTACCAGAGAAAATCTCTCTTATATCCGGGTTTCTCTTATATCCGGGTTTCTCTTATATCCGGGTTTCTCTTATATCCGGGTTTGATCTATTTTGTTTAGGTAAGTATGGGAACACTTTGGTACCAGAGAAAATCTCTCTTATATCCGGGTTTCTCTTATATCCGGGTTTCTCTTATATCCGGGTTTCTCTTATATCCGGGTTTGGTCTATTTTGTTTAGGTAAGTATGGGAACACTTTGGTACCAGAGAAAATCTCTCTTATATCCGGGTTTCTCTTATATCCGGGTTTCTCTTATATCCGGGTTTCTCTTATATCCGGGTTTGGTCTATTTTGTTTAGGTAAGTATGCGAACACTTTGGTACCAGAGAAAATCTCTCTTATATCCGGGTTTCTCTTATATCCGGGTTTCTCTTATATCCGGGTTTCTCTTATATCCGGGTTACACTGTATTTACTTTTTCTCGTCTGATTCTGCTTTCGACTTTCTTTTCTAGTCTGATTTTGGTCTCGTCTCGTTTCCTACCGCAAAATGGATTCCTCTCGTGTTATTAGGAAGACGTCATTTCACGACTACGTTCTTAGTTCACTTCCAGTTTTCGTGTTTACCCGAAGCAAACCAAAGGTCGATATCAGGACAAAGTGTATTTAGTATCACGCACGCACACATACACGCAGATCCAGAGAGTTAAAGAAATACGTAACTGCTCATTGAAAGCAACCTCCTACGCCCAACACACATTCGCATACTCCACACATTCGAACACAAGTAGACAGGAAACCAACTCAAGTGATCGCAAATAACGAACTGATTTTTAAAGAAGGGTTCAAATAAAATGTTTCTGACCGGAAATGAAGGAACTCCTCCAGGAAAATGTATGGGCATAGATTTCTTTGTTATTTTGGTTGGTTGATTTTGTTTAGCGGCATATCACTCTCTACTGTTTTTTTTTTTAATTCCGAAATCTAAATATTTTGAATGCAATTACAATTATGAATAATCAAGAGTGGTCTCCCCTTGTTTTGTTACTCTCCTCTTTGAAAGAGCTATTTCTGTTTACTGGTACTATCAAAGGACACTATACGCGAACCTTGTATTCTCAGTTGAATAAAGCTTTCTTAAAGCCTACACTTACGTACTTTGTCATGACAATGCCTTTAAATACAAATGTATTGTTGGTTATTTTACCATAAATAAGTATTGTTGGTAATTTCTTTTTATAGAAAAATGTATTGCTAGTATTTTTACTATAAAAATATATTTTTATACATCCATAGTGTTTTGTTTGTATTTGGGGATCCCTATTTGCCTCTAGCTGGGACCCAAACAGGTGCTACTACCAGGGTCAGGGTGGACCTAGGAACAACAGCAATTAAGTGGTGGTTCCACGCTCTTCAGAATCTCCAAGCTCCTGATCAGAGGCCTTGCTGCCGGATCTAGTGTATCGTCATCCCCAGGAGTCTTTACAATATTCAAAAGAGCGATACACTATTGATAACTAACATTTCCCATCACGTGGTTTCTCTTTGATGCCATCTCCCTTCAGGACGTTGGTGAATATGCATCTCCAAAGAATCCTTTTCTTTATTGTCTCTGAATTACCACGAGTTAACGGGAAAGATAGTGGAGTAGTTTCCTATTGCCTTCTCTCTGATTTGGAATTCAGATTTTTCCTTCTCTAAGCCAGGATCAGAAACTCCAGTCTATTCCCATGCTTAACGCATAGCTACAGGGAGAAGAGATGGATTAATGCCTTTCCCAAGGACATGTGTGCGAAATGTAAGTGACTAGGCTAGAATTTGAACTCATCTTCAACGTTCCGAACCGATAACCCTTACCCCAACCGCATATTCGTGGCGTCACTAACAGTGGAGATAGGAGCATATTTGTGCATGTATGCGATACTATAGAAGTATTAATATTAAAACGTGCTTGCTGTCAGTTCTCTAGGTGACGGCGTTAAGTAATAATGTCCGTTAGTCATGAGCACTACGTCCGAGTGGCGTATAAAATAGTTAGCATCTGCCTATATTTCTGAGAGGGGTTGTAATTATTTACACTATTTACATTAGTCGAATTGTTGTCCTCATCTTTGTTGCAATATTCACGACCTTTCAGCCGTTGTATGCTCCTGCCTTTGTCTGGTGGTTGGAATTTCGAACTGAACCATTTATTTCGTTCACCGGGGTAGATTGTTCTAGTTCCACGTGTCATGTCTCTTCTTGATGTCTCAGTTAAGAAGGCCGGTTCGTGCAACGTACAGCGTGAATATAGCAACAAAGATGAGGACTACTGTCCGAACAATGTAAATAGTGTAAATAGTTGCAATACTTCATCTCAGAAATATAGACAGATCCTAAAGAAGGCGGTAGCGTACAACGGCCGAAACGTCGTGAATATGGCAATAAAGATGAGGACAACAGACCGAAAATGTAAATCATGCAAATAAAGTAGTTAACAGTATCAGACTTTGAAGGTCAAAGGGTTACGTGCCAGTCAAAATTTATAGACGTGTGAAGGCCATGACACCTTGCAGTCAGCCAAACAATGGATACGCAGAAATTAATTAATGCTTGAAATTAATTTTGCATTGCATCACAACAACGCAAGGCTGCATTGCACTCATTAATTTGTTCTGATGTTTTACGGTTTATCAACCCGTTGTGGGTTTTTAAAACTGAGATATATTTTGAATTACAAGAATAATTCTTTTTTATTTACCAGTGAATATTGTATTAGTAAATTAATTTTTGTAGAATAACAATGATTTTTTTTACAGAAGCAAGTCCTACTATTTAACCCATAGGTGGGGGATATGGTTTCATACTTTACCCAAGAGTATTTGCAATTTTCAGTCAGTGTAACGAACCCGACTGGAATTCGAACTCGGCTCCCCGATGTCTCATTCCGAACTGCTATTCGTTCACACGACCAGCACATCCAATTGCAGTCTATAAGGGTGATTTTCTAAACATAGCTTAGATGTGGCAAAAGGCCGAAAGTATTGGACACCCGGTGAGTATCGAACTCACTGCTCAATCGTAATTGTTCTAGCGAGACGCCGAAGTGCCAGTTGCAGTTTATAAGAGGCATAAATTGTTACACGATTTGCACATCCGTAGCGTCGCTAATAGTGGAGCCTGTTGAAACGTACTTGGTGATGGCATTTTTTCCTCATGAGTTCAAGATACGTATAAATCAGCGATCAGGGATAAAGCACTTGGCACTTGGGGACTGCGTGACAATTTACATAAGTATAAAAGCAATTAATGGCCATGACTGTATGGATGCGAATAAGACAAGACGGGAGAACATTTTGGCATCACAACAGTACAAGAAGCGTTGAAAAGCCAGAAGTAACGTTTTCGTCAAATTTATTCAATTGACCAGCATTTACTTTCAAGTCTCGATGGAATCCAAAAGAGTCTTTGTGATTGACACAACATCTTTTTTCATCCTACAACTATTACCTTAGGTCAACCAGTTCCTAACCATTACAGCTAAGACCCGCCATGCTACGCACATTGGAGCGAACCACTTTCGTTTCCTTTATATTCCATTGGTGAGATGTAAGTTCCACACGAGCAAGTTCTTCCCGCTAACAGCTGATTTGTATAACCGACTTTCAAGGTGATGTGTCCCCGAACATTACAATCTTAATCCTGTTCGAGTCTAGAGTTAACCGTTATCTTCCCCACATATCTGTATAAACCTCTGTAACCTTCTACCTTTTGTAGCTCCCTGGTTTTGTATAAGGTTAATATCACTTTGAAAAAAAAAAGAAGAGTAAATCATTCCAAATTCGGATAATCATAGAGCAAATACTTATATTGTCGTATATTTTATAGCTAAAGAAAGTAGGCTACACTCGTTATCTATAAGCGGTGTAGTTGCTCTCTCATATGAGTTTAGATGTTTCGAAAGTCTGTTGGGACCTAAAGTTCATATATCCAATCCATTGCTAAAAAGCTGGAAAAAATGGCCAGCTCGTTTTATTGCCCCAAGAAGTACCTGAATTC